CTGAACCTGAACCAAATAAAAAAACAAGTAGTGACATTTGTTAATAGGAAGGTGAATTTAAACCAAAACTTTATCAAAATCATATACTATATTATATAGAATATGGTATCAAATCTAAATAAAGTATTACCCTTTTCTCTTAGATATATTATTACCCTTGTTACCAAAAAAATACCATTTACAAAAAGAAAAAATCAAAATCAAAAGCCAAACCAAACCATATAGATTGAATTCTCTTAGTCCCATTGACCATATTTACCTCTAGATTATTTCCACAAAATGAAACTATATATGAAAGGAAAACAATTTTATCAATGGAATAAATTGAGGGGAAATAAATAAATAAGTGAGGAAAAACGTTATAGGAAAAAGATTTGTGGACTCTTTGAAACCTTACGAATGCACGAGACTCTTCACCAGAAGAAGTCGGTTGACTTTTTCTCCTTTTTAAACATTTTTCTTAACTCACGCGCCATTACTTCTACTCGCTCTCTTTTCTAACTCGCGAAAAACATAAAGACTTTTTGATTTAACAAAAAATAAAATTAAAACTGAAATATACGGAAGGACTTTTGTCTTGCAACCCCGAACCTTTTTGCCATATTTCCATGAAACCAATTTATGCATGTTTTCGATAATTGATTTTATACTTTCATATGTTTATATACTAGTAGATTATACTTATAATCAAATAGTAGGCTATAGAATCTTCGAGTTGTTAAAGTAACGACATGAAGAAGCGAGCTTGTGTCAACCAGACATTCCATAATTAGTCTTTCTAAGCTCCATTATTGAGCAAAAATGTATGCCCTAAATGGTGGAATGATTTGGAAATTTTAATAAGTACAATTATTGGTTTGTTAATGGAACAAAGCTTGGCACTTATTATTTACATGTGCTTCGTTATACTAGTATGCAAATGCATATGGCGTTTAAGGAAAAGCTGTATGCTAATGTGTGTGTTTGCCATAGTAAATGTTAAGAATCTGTGTTGCTTTCAAATTAAACACAAAATCATGTTAGGTTCAACATATAAAAAAGTAAGATTAGTGTTTGATGATATTTACTTAGAGTGTAGTGTTTGGAAAAGTCAGAATTAATTGAACCGAAAGTATGGATCATGGAAAATAAAATTAAAGAAAAATGGAAAAGGTGGTGGATCATACTGGTTTGGTTTGGTTCGGTTTAGATCACGTGGGAATGTCGGTTCCAGAGAATAACCGACCAGCCAAGCAGTCGATACAATACACTCAACGTCTCCTATTTATCAATTCAGGTATGCCTAAGACTTTTTCTTCCATTTTTTTCATTCAATTTAAACCAAAAACATGATAGATGTAACAATTTACACATAAGATATCGTTACTTTAAAAAATTGAAAGGCCCTTTTAGCTTCTCTTATAGGCCTGACAAACTAGTCAAGAAGAAATTGGTTTGGTAAATAAAGGTTGAAAGCAAAGAGGAATATTCACCTTGTTTAATTTAATGATATAAAGAACAACGTCATTTTCATTGTTCGGTTTAAATTTGGTACTTACCATAAAATTGTTCAACTTCAACAAACAAGAGCCCCCAAAGAAAAAAGATAAATTCAAAACTTTGAAGTGTTATTATGTTAACGGTAACATCAAAGAGTCCATGTGAGTCTTTCAACTTCAAAAATGAAATTTGAAAACGGTGACAAGAACTAAAATGCTAACTATTGACCATAGAAACAAACCAAAAGAGGTTTAGGATAATAGCGAAAAGACTAGAAGAGAAGGCTTTTCTACAAGACAATTCCTCAAGAGTCACATCCAATTGAATCATTATAGTGTGTTCGATGTAACGTTTAAACAGATGAAAATATTGGACGTTATTAGCAAAAAATACATTTATTGAGACAGCAAATATTGGTGTTCAAAGAGGAGAGGACCAAACCTTTGTTTTGCATTAATGTCCAAACCAATTGGAGACTTTTTTTTCTCTCTCAAGTTTTTTTTACCAAAATGTGTTTCCCACCTGAAATCAAGTACTGAAAAAGAGAAGTCTTCTATTGCGTCTGTTTCTCAAACCCAAAATCAACACAAAAAGAAAATAATACAAACATTTTTTTTTAACTTAAAACATTGAAGAAATCATATTGAATTGTCAGTAAGTTGGTGTTTTTCAGTACATATAAATAAGTATCCAATCACAGGATGTGCAAACCTAAATACATGGTTGATCTCCAGTACCAAAAAAAAAAAAACTATATGCAGAGTCACATGCATACTTTACTCATGTAGGCCTCACAAGTTGCGACCCCTCTCACATAAATCACTGACAGAACCACGTGTGACCAAGAATTTCAACAATATATCAAAGACATTATACGATTTGTGATACATTTAGTAGAAGTAATGTCACCAACACCAAAAAGAAAAAGAAAAAGGTATTATCATCAGGATGGTGTCTTAGGAACAGACATATTTGGGCTGGAGAGAAAGTGATTGTACCTACAGGACTGAGAATAGC